TTTCCTAATAAAGTTAATAAAACAAATCTAAAATTAAATATTTTACTTAGAAAATATATAGCTAAAATTAATATATATGTTTTTATTAAAAAAATTAACCTTTTTAATAAAAACACAGGCAAATTTGTCTGTGTTACAATTTAAGAAATAAGATGCTTAAACACACAGACCCAACCTTTCTACAAGCCACAACGGCACTCTTTAACAGATATCTCACTACCCAAACAGTCCCCAAATAGTAGAATAAGGGCAGGATATACTCCATTTCCAAAAAACTAATTTTTGATAGGAACCTTGCTAACATGAGACCTATCAGCCTCATTAAATATATTAAAAAGTTATATACTAAACTTCTCACCAATCAGCTAAACAATATTCTATCCAATTACTCAATCTTATCCCCATTCAACTATGTTGCACTTCTAAGTAACTCCACCTCAATCCCAATCCACACTCTCAACAATATTATAGAAGATGCAGTATGCAACTCCAACCAGCTATGGATACTATCACAAGACATGAGCAAAGCTTATGACTCTGTCATAGTGTTCCTATCGAACTGAACCAAATCAAACTTTACTTAAGTTTGAGTTCAGTTTGATTTTCAAATCAAACTCAAACTCAAACTTTTTTAAAAATTATGTTTGGTTCGAGTTTGATTTCAAACTAATTTTTTAAGTTCAGTTTGATTTGAAGTTTGGTTCGAAGTTTGCAAACTTGTTTGAGTTTGATTAGTATTATAGTTAAAATACACAAGGTTATACTCTAGATGTTAGTTCAGATAGCTACTTCAGAATTCAAATTTCTTAATTAATTATTAATTATTAGTAGACTTATATTTGTAATTTAAATACTATAAATTCTTTGACAAATATATTAATTTAAAAACTTTTTTTAACAAAATTTTTTTTATTTATTTATTGCTAATTTCTTTAAAAATATAACATTAAAAAAAAAAACAAATTTACAAATATATGTTTAATATTTATATAATTAAAAATTATTTATCAGTATTATCTTGTCCGGGGTTATTCTGCATAATACCATGAATCTTTAAAAGATGAAAAATTAAACTTTTTGTTGATCCATTTGAAATTTTTAATTGGGCATTACATATTTTACCTGATTTATCAGTTACATTACAAACTCCAAATTTAATTTCAATATTATCCTTTTCTCTTCTAAAATATTTCCAGGCCCAACTTTGCTTCTTAGAGCTTGCAAATGATTCATCGAATGGCTGAAATAATAAGAAAGATTACAAATTCTCATCTTCCATTGTGTTTTGATTAATTTAATTTTATAAAGCGATTTTATTTGATATATTTAGTATATTATAACATTAGGCCATACAAACTTAATAAATCGGTTCTCATAACCCAGCTGGGTTAAAATTTACAAAACTCTAAAAAAAAAATTCAAGTAAACTTACTATTCGGGTGAGTTTTTTAAAAAAATTTATAAAAAATTTTATATGTTTTTTATATATAAAATTTTTTGAAAATAAAATTAAAAGCTGGGTTGCCGGGTTACTTTTAAAATTTTTATGTTATGAGAACCAATTTATTAAGCTTGTATAGCCTTATAATACTATATTTACTACTAAACCAGAACATACTTTTATTACTTTAAAAATATTGAAAATCAGAGCGAAATTTAATGCTTATATTTATGATAAGTATAGAACTATCATAAATCTGATAACTTTGAATTTATATGCTTTTTTTTAATACAATACATAAAAACTACACTAATTTTGTTAATACATATATTCAGATGTGTATATATTTAGATGCATAATTGTATATGGCGAAATGACAATCTACTGTAATATTGTGATACACTATAGTCATTTTTTCTCACATTATTTTTTTTTTAGCAGTCTCGAGTTCCCAAAGTTTAAACTATGTAATTGCCCCAATATATTTTTTATGATATCCTATTTTACTAAACAGAACTCCAGATAAATGCATATATATTCAGGATTCTAGTCTATCTATTATTATATAATCGCATATGTTGCTTAATTTATGTTAACAGAAAGTCACAAATTGAAAAGGATGGTTAACATTAGGTAGATGCTGTATATGCCAGAAACAATTCGATTAGATTTAGAAGACAGCAATTAATAAGATAGCTGTCATGCAAAACTAGCTTACAGTAACTAAATCATATAGTTGATACTAATTGCAAACTGTCTAATTGCATATACTCTCTAATATATAAAAAATTTTGCCTTTTAATTATTAATGCAAAAATGGTTCTTATGACTTAATGCGTATATAGTCAATACTGTCTAATTGCATACTATCTATCGGAGACTCTTTTATGCATATAGGCAATATATGCATTTAAGTCATAAGAACTATTTTGCATTAATAATTAAAGGTCTAAATTTTTTATGTATTTGAAGAGTATATGCAATTAGACAGTATCAACCATATTGTCTATATGCATAAAAAGAGTCTCCGACAGGTAATATGCAATTAGACAGTATCGACTGTACCTAGATCTACCTATTATTATTAATTAACAGGCTTATCTGGTTGAAAAACAATGTAACTACCTTAAATAGCGATGAATGGCATGTACGTACGTAATAAATTAATTTTATACTTTTTTTTTTTGGGGTAAAGTTGAGTATTTGAATAAATTAGTATTGTGATTGTTAATGAAGCAGCGTGCATACTGGTACAATAGCGTGATGCCTTTGATGTAATGTAGTAAGTTCCAGAAAGCGCTCTCTTTCATATTAAACAAATTGAATAAATTAATTTTAATAAAGAATCTTGTTTCTATCATAAAGTATAGTCATAATTATTTTCTTTTAGAATCTCTATACTCATTAGAAACCTGAACCAGTAGCGGCTGGAGCTACGCATTCATTATGCACTGCTCTTTCAAACTAGTCTTCACTATAGGAATATCGAATATAAACGCAACTAACTCATGTTAACAACATATGCCAAGCATAAAGGAATCTTGGCAGAATTAGGTATGAAATTAGGCAGCAATGAACAGACTCATTTGAATCAATGTTTTTTTTTTCACAGCTTGTTTGCTGCAATTTCAACTACTTTTGTGAAATGTTATTGTCATTCTGGTCTACTTGGCTAATTGCTCGCTTCTTAATTGCTAATCTCAATAAAAAATTACTACTAGGTATAAGTTATCTGCTAGTATAATCCAGAGTAAGGCCAGATCAATTAAATTTTGTTTTATATTACCCCTCTCTACCTTCTGGGGAAAGATTGGAGCATGCTGCATATATAAATATTTTTTGGCCATCTTTATTTTATTTTTATTTTATTTATTTATTTATTTTTACTAAAAAAGAGGTGGGGTAATGTAAAATGTAGAATGTAATCGGCCTGGTCTAATATAAACGTGTTATACAATGTGATGGTTTTCGATCGGTAATATATAAGCAATAATTTTTAAAGAAATTGCTTGTAGAAATTATTTTTGTAAACTGTCTTGTGCTTATTGTTGGCTACTTAAGTTTATGAATATGGAATACGATAGTAATGAACCTAAAAATATCTATGACAATGGCTACAATGATGACCACAATAATGACCGCAATAATGATCACAATAATGACCGTGATAATGACCAAGATAATGACTGCGGTAATGATCATGATAATAACCACAATAATGACTGTATTGACTGTGATGATAATAATAATTATAATGATATCTTTAGCAAGCGAAGCAATAGGAGTGAGGTTGGGATTTTTTTAAAAAAGTTGTGTGGAAAAAAGATCAGAAAACAGCAAAATGTACCATACCGAAATGCCAGTATAAGGAATTTTCTTGTAGAGACGGGGGATCAACAAAACCACTTTGGCGCTATTTAGAAGGCTCTTACTAGTCACAATATGTTATAACAAGGGAATATAAAAAAAAAAACAGAAGGTTCAAGATGAACATGGTACTCTCGATGAAATATTTGGAGAAGTAAGTTATGACTTGTTTTTTTAATTTTAAGACAAAATTAATAAAAAACAACTTACTCTAGCATTCCAAAGACTCCTATACTATGATAACTAATGTCGATAATGTAAAGCTTCGTAATATGTTTACCACTTGGATCGTTAATTATCAATGTCCATTGCTTATAATTGAAGACCCTGAGTTAGTTAAAATTATTCAGTATTTAAATTCTAGGGCACAATTAGTCAAATCTGATGCAATAATGAATTCAATTGTATCTCTTTATAACTTAGGAAAAAAGAACTTGAAGGCAAGTTTCGTGTTTATGTTTATGCCATTTATTATCTACAGCACCTTAAACATCAACAGCCATTCCGCCAACAACATTAGCTTTATTTAAGTTAG